CTCTTAAAGATTTTCATAGCCGCTGTAAAACCCATAATTTGTTTTTCCTATTTTTTTAAAGTAATAGGGTGTAGAATTTTTGTTAAATTCATAGAAAACAATCACAATAAAGTACAATGCTTCAGGCAACTGTTACCAAATTATTTTGGGTCATTTTTATTTTGCAGAGAACAAAGTTCATTTTATCCAAACGGGACCTAAGTTAATGTCTTGTTTCAATGGTTAAAATCAATTTCGTTATCATCTTTTCCTCACTCACCATATAGCGTCAAGACTTTTGGTCTTTTCCAGGTGTACTGAAAAGGACGTTTAGGTTGGATAAATATGAAGTTCCATCATAATCCAGTTGCCCAAAATTAAGTAAAAATGACTTCTCCAAGGCATCAGGGGGGAGGGGGGTTTGGATTTTTAATGTCATTGGAGATTAAATTTAATGAGTGTTTAATTGATTAATTGCAAAAGACTTGTAATCATGCTATGAAAAAAATTGTAATTCTTTGATTTGCAAATCACAATTTAAGAAGAGATGCACAAAAATCATTGTACTCAAAAAACCACAATTTTCAAATCACAAATTATGATTTGTGATCGATTTAGAAAGTCGTATCTGAGCTAAATGTACAGCACATAAGAGTGCATCCAAATACTTTGAAAGATTGGATTAATTATGACCATTGATGTATGGTCATGACTTGATCAAATGTGATCAAGAGACATCATGTAATCATATTAATAACTGTTATCTAATTGTGAACATCCACAAAGTTGAATTTTGTGATTATAGAGTTTATAAAAGGGTGTAAATCATGCTGGTTTTCAAACAAGTTTTTCACTCAAAGTCACTGCATAAACACTCTTGTCTTTCTTAATCTAAATTATCACATAAGGTTTTTCTGGAAATTCTTCAGCTTTATTAGTTACAATTTCTCATCCAAAGTTCTATTATATCATGAGAATGAATTTATTAATAACCCAATAACAAATTCAATCAACTGAATGGGGGACAAATAATGATCTAAAGGCAATATTTTTAAATATCCCTCAAAACTTCTCCTCTAGTTTTCTATAACTATCATCTCAACATGATAAGGGCCTTAGTTGATAAGTTCTCTTACTGATTGTACCACCAGAGACTTGGGATCATATCTTACTGTAGAGGTTGGGTTTGCTGAGGATGGGCTGCCTCCCATAGTGTAGCTAATAAGCAAAAAATAAGAAAAGCTTTTGCCATGGATGGTTTTGCTAAAAGGTTCAATCTAGAAAAATTATCTCACCAAAGCAACTTTGGTTGAGGAAAATAAAAAAAAAAATGTTGGAATAATTCTTAGGAATATTCAATAAAATATGAACACATATCCCATTTATTTTTTTCTAAGACTATATTTGATTTGAAGGAAAAAGTAGGGAAGGGAAGGAAAAGGTAACTCTATAGCCAGTGTATCCCTGTTTCATTGGAAAAGGCTTTGGCTATCCACGCTTGACAGCCTCAGCTGTCCACCTCGTTGGTCCATACAGTCGTTGTGCTTTAGGCACTGTTGCTGTTTTATGAAATTGATACGGACTAACGTGTCAGGCAAAGAGCACCGGGCAGAATTTTCCAGTTTGTTGCAAGAATTTACGAAAAAGTACGGACGTGAATGAGCTCACGTGATCATATCTGACGTGAATGAGCTTTGCCAGAATTCAGAAGCGCCATGACACGGGTTAACACTGGGCACGTTCTTATCTATTCACGCCTATGTTTTGATATTTAATAAAAATAAATTAATATATAATTTACCCATTCTCAAAATAACGTGGCATTCCCATAAATTCTTTCAACAGCAGAGGTTATTGGCCCCCTACAGCTAAAGTTTTTCTCCATGACATCATGGCATTGTGGCTTCTACGGTCTGATACACTATGACTGTTGAAAACAGCGGAGCTTTGCTGGCTGAACTTCAAATCAGCCCCAACAAGGGGGCACCTACAACGTCTCATCATTTCTCCAGATAATTCCTTATCATTTTCTGATACTATCATCAGGAGATGTTCTCAATGTATAGTAGGATGTGCTGTGAAGCATTGTGAGGCGCTCCTTGTGGGGCTAATTTGAGCTTGGTATTAGGAGGACATAATTAAGGGGAGAATGATGGTTTAACCTAGGGTCAGAATTTATAAGCTCAAAGTACTGATAGGATAGGTGTTAACTTGGAATTGATGCCAATTCATGGGTGGCTGTTAGTGCATAGAGTGTGGGTTGTTGACATATGTTTATGACTCTGTAGTGGAAATCAGAAATCTTTTTGATGTTGTTCTTATTATTTATTGTTATTATTTTTTTTAAATAGTGTGCAAAAAAGTTGGTTCAAATGGTTGAGGGTCCGTTTGGGAGTGATTGAGATAAAATGATGGATAATATATTTAAATGATTTGTGTTTTAGTAAATGGAATAAAATTTATCCTTGTTTGAAAAATTATTTAGACTTCTTATGCTAATTTACCCGAATAAGTGCATTTACCTATGTTCTTTTAGTTCCCAAGTAAATAATACAATAACTTTTTTAGTCATACGAAATCATTATTAAAAGGGATAATTTTGTCCCATCCAAGTGCTAACTTTATTACCCACATAAGAGATGAGTATCATTACATAGAAATATAAATCTTTCATGAACCCCACATAAATTTGGAAAAAGAACATAGATATATTGTCAATGGGAACCAAAATCCCATTGACCAACTTACCTCCTCTCAAAATCCAATTAAGGAATGGGCTTTAAAGTAACTTCATAAGTTTTTTGACAATTGACAGTCGCCATTATTCATTAATAGGAAGATGAAAAACTATTTTATCCTTCATTTTTCTTTGAAATTTTAAAATAGTAACATCTGAATATACATATCCATAATCTAGTTACATCTTACAATCGGTTGAGGGATATTGTGCAAGGGAGCTCAACCCAAAGCACATTATGTTGGTTTCAACTGCTTCCTTCAATTAGGGATGAAAATGGTTCAAATTAGATTTGAATTAGGGTATATTCGAATCTAATCTGAAACACTATAGGGCTGACTTGATCTAATCTGAAGATCAATCGGATCTCATAAATACCTATTTGAATTCGAATCCAATCAAGATGTCAGATATCCAAATATCATTCAATCCAAATTATTTTTTTAAAAAATTAACAAATTATTAAAAGGAACAGAAAATATAACTATTTAAATAAAAAACAAAAAATACAAGTATTTTTTCAACTATTTTCATCAATATATATATATGTTTTTATAAAAAATAAATAGTATAAAAATTTTAAAAAATACAATATAAATAATATATTTATGAATGAATAAATAACATATATACATATATAATATATATAAATAAATAAATACATAATATATATCGGACCAGATCCTTCCAAATCGGATAGATGATTATCTGATCCAGACATTCGAAACAGGTGTATCCAAATCCGACAATATAGAATGGATTGATCGGATCCATTTGCATCCCTACCAGAATCACCTTCCTCTTGTATAAGGGAGCAACGGTTGTAGGGTAATGGGAAAATCTCCCCATCAAATTTGAGGTTAGTTGGATCCCACAGTATTCCTTCCGAATGAGGAAAAGCGGCCACAGGCACCTCCATTCCCCCCCGGCCGGATCTCCTCTCCCTCCTCCTCTCTGCCCTGCAACCTACAACCGGCCCATCCCACTGAACCCGGTCAGTAATGTCACTGCCATTTCGATTGACCGCTGCAACCCAAAAAAATTCAGGTTGAGCTCCCTTGCACAATTCAGGTTTTGTCAATAACTCAATTCTTAAGATTCCTGGTGAGGAACAGTGCCTTGCATGAATGAGAACAGCTATGTAGATAAAGGTCACACACATCCAATTCCTTGTTACGACTTGCGAGTGAAGTCGGATTGAATCTGAATGATCCATTTTATCCTTATATTCACTGTCGAGAGATGCAAAACACGAGGTAAACCTTGTTAGCTTCGTGCCTCAAGGACCCTTTAGAGTTGAGACTTTTTCTTTTCTATTTTATGATCTTTGAATCCCCGCCTTTAACAACATTACCGCTTGTTCCTTCCTGCTTCTCATGGGCTTGCTGTCTGAACAAATGCTATTGAAGTTTTGGGCATGTAGAAATAAAACCAGATCCCTTCATGGCAATCCCACAACGATTTATTTGCCTAGATTTTGCATTCAGATGTTGGGGATAAAAAAAAAAACGGAATTGGCAAGAGCATTATTTTGACAATTTGAAGAAAAGTGAAAGCAAATTTTGAAATTAAAAAATTTTATACAAATCATGTGACATCACGATGCACTGATGCAGGGGGATTTTGTCAATTGTCAGGAAATTCCTCATATTTTGTGATTTTTTTTAAATTTTCAAATAGTAGGATATGTTTAAGGGATTTTTAGACTCCACTCTAGCTTAGAATTCAGATTTGAATTGCAGATTTACAACAATTTAAATTTATATACAGTTCCACCTATAACACCCATATCCACCTGTGAATTAGCATTAATTTCGCACTGGCACCTACCCTGAACTGTACCTGTTGAGATGAGATTTCTAGAGTGGACTGAACGATAAAAACCCATTGTTTATTTTATTTATTAAAACATAGGTGTAGTTTAAGTATTTTACCCATAAATAATTATTATGATTGATTGAAAGCTGATTTCAGTTCTTCTGATTTACTAAACTTAGCTTATAAGTTGGTTTATACATGGTTTTCAAAATCCGACCGGACCAGACGGTCAGACCAGAAAAATCGGTAACCGGTCAGTCCCCCGGGTCCAGTAATATTATAAACCGGTAAATCTTTAAAACCATTAAAAAATCAGAAAACCGATGACCCGGGTGGTCGAACTGCTAAATTGTTCGACCCGGGTAGCTGTTCGCGGGTTATCACTTTTTATTTTCCCTAATTTAAATAAAATAAAAAAAACAAAAAATAAAATAACCCTTCCCTCCTCTTACGAACGTTACGAATGTTTAGGGTTAGAACCCCATTTTCATTCTAAGTTTCTAACCCTTCCCTCCTCTAAGCCCTCACACCCCACCTGCGGCGGCCAAGACCTACGGCGTCAGATGGCGATACACAGCGACCGACGGTGATTCACGGCGACCGGAGACGGTGGTGAGCTTCATCTACGGCGGCCACCGTTGATTTTGCAGCAGGTCCAACAGTAACGGTTGCGACAGTAATAGATCCGGCAACCGACTTGCAGCGGCGGCCGACAATTTTGCAGCAGGTCGAGCAGTAACAGTTGCGGCAGTAATAGATCCGGCAACCGACTTGTAACGGCGGCCGGCGATTTTGCAGCAAGTCGAGCAGTAACAGTTGCGGCAGTTGTATTTCTTCATCATGATTTGTGAAATCTCTTTCCATCGTTGATCTTCTTGCGAGTATGCAGAAACCATCGAATTGAATTTAATGTCATTCATGGAAGGATGAGACCAAGATTCAGAAGCTGTAGTTATTGTAAAGATGATAACATGTTGAAGCATCGCTTAATGATGTCATCCATGTTGAAATCCCTGATATCTATCTTGTTTTCACCCATTGTGCATTTGTGCCCCACCCTAACTGTGACTGAGTTGATCAAAACCTCCTGCACCTTCTCTTTGTTCTGGTCCTGATTTCTAAAACCTGTTTCTGAATTTCAGGCCACTGAACTAATATCTAATTACCTATATATTGTTTAAAGCCAGAAGAACCAGATCACATATTCTTAATTTGTTTCAAAATGTAATACAAAAAGCAAGAAATTAAGAATTACATGGAGTGTATTTGCAGAAATATTAAGCTTAGCAGTTCAATCATGCTTACATTATTATCCTGTTCCAATTTTTTACCTAATTTGTTTCCTTGTAGCTGGATGCAGAATTTTGTGGATATTGGTTATACAATTGGTGCATTTATGACGTTGTTCTCTACATGTTGCTTGCTTGGGATTGATATATCTCGTATACATTTTCAGGATCCTGAATTGCTGATGATGTTCGCTTTCTCCTTTACATCTACCACAAGATGATGGAAAAATTGAATAACCGATCCTTGTGGCATCTTGTAGTTCGTGGTGCACTGTATCGTAGATGTTTCTGCATCTATGATAATGAGTATGCAGATTGGCTATCTCTCCCCCATATTCCAGGTCTTTATGATTCTGAATATGGTAGTTTACTGCTGTGTAACATTCTATACTCTAATATCAATAATTTTTCTTTTTATGTTATGTCCTATAACAGAGAGATTAGTCTAAAAGCTGGAAGTATGCAATATTAGGGTACGTTTGGTTTACAGTTGGAATCAGAATGGAATGGTTTGGTCCCTAGTTCACAGATGGTTTAGTCTGTATTTTTTTTTGTATTTTTCTCTATTTATTTGCAATTTTCTGTTTTTTATTTTTATTTTTATTTTTGTGTTTTTTCTGTATTTTTTAGAATTTTCCTGTATTTTATTTTTATACTTTCTATGTATTTTGTACTTTATTATTTTTGTATTTTTTCTGTATTTTATTTAATTTTATGTTATTTTTTATTATTTATAAATATAATTTTTATTTTTAATTTATTTATGATGTCATGGGTCAAAACGTTTGACCCAGATGGTTGAACCACTTAACCGGAAACCGGTCCCCTGATCAGTTCTGCTTCCGGTTCGTTTTTAAAACCTTGGGTCTGTAGGTTCCACCTGAAAAGCTAGAAGCACTATAGTTCAGCCCTCCTAAACGGGTAGGGATGGCAATTTCCACCCTATCTGGTGGGTACCGGCCCCTACCCAACCGGATTGGTGCTTCTTTCCAATTTTTTTTTTTTTGAAGAATGGATCTTGGGGCAGAGATAGGTTTTGGGATTTTACAACCAATACAGGTACCGTTGGGATTTGGTATTAAGCTAAACTCCTTGATATATACATTGAATTTAATAGTGCTTTGAATTTTATATAAATAATAATTAAATAATTTTTGTGTATTTTATATGTTTCAATCACATAATTGGAAATTTTGATGTTTGTTCATATTAATTTTCTTGTTTATTTCTTATAGATAACAGAAAATTATATATGGGTTCTATACTGAATCCGCCAACTTAGCCCATCCCACCCTAAAATGGAAGGAGGATGGATGGGAAAGCTTTTGCATTTTCATGTGCAAGGGAGGTTTGGATCTTGAAATCCGACCCACTATGGGTTTTGTGGAAGGTATGAATTAGAAGGCTTGGGAAGATAAGAAGGGTCTAGAATTTATAAAACCCTCATTGAATCTATTCCATTGCCGTTCCTACAAATGAACACAAAATTCATCCAATCTTGTTCGAGATTTACTTTGCTCTTCCAAAAAACAGGCTTTTGTCCTAAAAATATTTAGGATTGCTCCACATCATATTGCCACATTAAATTAAATAAGGCATAGATAACACCTCCATAAACGGGCATAACTATATAAATGCATTGGGTCATTTCCAACTTCTAAACAAAACCCTAATCACTCTCTTCAAATCATAGATCATTCTCTTGCAACCCCAAGTTCCACCATCTATTACCATCAAATTCAAAGGAGAAGAAAATATTTTTCTTTGTCAAAATAAGGCATTGTCTAAGAAAAAGGAAATATTAATACATGTTTGACCTTAGGCATTAATCTCTAAGGCCCTGTTCATATTTCGGTAAGCTATTTACCTGATAAATGCACTTACCCAAGTAATTGTTAATCAGGAAAGATTTACCCAGGTAAGTGTATTTACCCATGTTCTTTTATTTTCCATGTAAATAAGGCAATGACCATTTTATCCACAAAAGTCCATTATTACAAGGGACATTTTTGTCCCTTTCAAATGTTGGCAACTTTCCCCCAATGTGAGAAAGTTATCTACCCACCGGGTAAGTGATGGTCCCCATATAAATCTGAAAAAAGAACATAGGATTTTTGGTCAATGGGAATCAAAATCCCATTGACCAACTTTCCCCTCTCTCAAAATCCAGAAAAAGAACGCCCCCTAAAAGCGACTAGATGCCTTATCTCGATCTATTCAGCCTATCAAGAATCCAAAGATACGATATTGTATGCCCAAATTTTGAAATGTTGTGTACTATCAACACTTTGAACCTTGGGGATTATTGCATTTATTTTTATGGGGCTCAAGGCTCATTATGCAGGTGACCGATGATCACTCAGACATGCTTCATGTATCAAACTAAGGCTATGTTTGGGAGTGCTTAAAAATAAGTACTTATTTGGACCACGATCACACCATTAAACACTTATTGGTGTTTGAGAAATAAGTCCAAAATAAGTGCTTTTTTTTTTTAAAACAATAGCTTATATTTTAAATCCAAATTTCCAGTTTTTTTAAGTACTTATACAATGAGGACTTATTCATTTTTTTTCTTGCAAAATTATCCCTAGTTAAATTTTAAAATACCACTTATAATATCCCGAGTTGAATTTTATAAAAGTTTTTTTCTAAAAGTACTTTTGTAAAAATGCTTACATAAAAGTATTATATATATAAAAGTACTTACGTAAAATTACTTTCATAAAAGTATTTTTACAAAAGTACATTTGTAAACGTGTTTTTATTAAAATGTTTTCATCAAAGTACTTTTGTAAAAATGTTTTTACTAAAGTGTTTTCATAAAAGTACTTTCGTAAAAGTGCTTTTATAAAATTTGAAAGAAAATGAAGGACAAAATACCCACAAACGTTTATTTAAGTGCTTATTGGAGAAAAGACTACCAAACACCTAATATGAAATAAGTGCTTATTTTTTAAAATAAGCACTTGAAAAAATTGGGTGACAAATGCAAATAAGTGCTTATTGGAATAAGCACTTATTTTTAACATAAGCACTCCCAAACATGGCCTAAATAAGCTACGTACCAGTTAGCTTTACAACAAAAGCCTTCAGTAAATATTATAACTCAAATTACCGTGTTTATCAGTAGCAATGCAAATTTCATTTGCAGTGGTTTAAATGCAAATAGGCCTTGTGTAAATTCTTGTTTGCTTCTGTTTCAGATTTGGCCTTGTCTGGTTGGTTTGGCTCAATTTGGAAGGAGCACAAAGACAAATATATATGGTATAAGTACAAACGAAATAATACAAAATATAAGGTTTTGCACTCTACATATTTATATTTGTACTCCTTCCAAATGGAGCCTTTGGGAAAAATTAAATAGGAAGTAAACATGTAAAATGGTGTGATCTTAGCTTATATTGCTAGATGATGGATGTAGGAGACTAGGAGGAGGGTTATTTATTTAGGATGAAGGTAGGAGGGACATTTTTGTTTGGGAGTGAGGTAAGAAGTAAGATGATCATGAATTCACCATGTGGTCTTCACTATGAGAGAGAATTGAGGTAGGAGGAAGATGGTGCAAAATTTTTATCACTTTCTAAAATGCAAAATTTACACTGCTAGTGAATGCAAATAAGACAAGTACAAATTTTATATCACGTAGGAATCCTACAAATCGAAGTTACAAACAAATAACTGCAAAACTAAACCAGGTGGAAACTTTATATCTGGTTCAAGTTTGCACTGCAACCAAATGCAGCCTAAAATGACGTATACTAAATTAAGAAAAATCAGTATGAGTACAGGGAATTAAAATCACATTTCCTTGATAAATTTTCAAGGCCACTATCAATAAACCCAGCCGTGGAGGTTAACTAGAGCAAAAAAATCAAATTAAAAAATCCCAATATTTTTTTTCTTTCTTTTTCCGCAAATAAGGTGTAGAAAATTTGTTAAATCACTTTTTTTTTTGCTCAATTTTATTTTTCGCAAAACAAAACTCGATCAAAAGCAAAAATTTATCCAAATGGAGCGTACATGTCTTGTTTGAATGGATAAAATCAATTTCGTTATCACCACCACCGAGGGGTAGCCCAATTGATGAATGATTTGTCCCGGTGATGGTGCGATTTTCTGGCTATTATATTTTCCGTAGATAGTGATTAATACAAAAGAAAAAGAAAATCGTTATCACCTTTTCCTCACTCCTTATAGTGCTAGACGTGTGGTGTTTGCCAGAGACTTTGATAAGACTACTACGATAAACGAGTCCCATACTGCAAGTCAGGCATTTATATAAGATTATATAAATAATATAGTTCCATCAAAATCCAAAAGCAAAAGACTAAGCGAAAATGACTTTTCAAGGCATAAGGGCTGCTTGAAACATGATTCTTTTCATTATTTTGCTAAGTGGGACTCCTACCTAAGATAGATTTGTAACATAATAGATCATTTGATCGGCAAATTATCAAAGAAATTGGCCTGTCGGAAATGTTGATTCACAAGTTCATGACCATTCTTGTTCTTTTCTTGGTGAGTAGGTTTTTCTTTCTTGCAATGCACAGATTATGGTGATCATGCTTCTGCACAATAAGTGATATCAGAATGAATATATAAGCTCAGGGTACAATTTAGACTAATCAACTGATCGTATGCAATTCATAAGTTCTGTAGTAGGGATATAGGAATTTCTGTTTATAATAAATAAATTTAGGCTCAGTTTAAAAGGAATACAAACACAAATATGTAGAATGCAAAACATTGTATTTTATATGTATTTGTATTGACATATTTCTATTTATATTCCTTCCAAACTGAGTCTTGTAGTCGAGTGTATCCTAACAAGCAGAGAAAAATTAAAACCAAAAAACACACACAAATTCAGGTTTATGGAAGGTTCTACCAAAATGTTCAATCAAAAGCAACTTTGGTTTGGGAAAATAGTGGAGCATTCTTATAACCGCCCAATATATAGACCATGGGTTGGACCCCGTTTGTTTGAAATACAACGCAGTGAAGCACTAAGGGATTTGCTATGGGTAGATTACTAATGTGTCCGTGTTTTATAGGACTAATGGGAGAAAACTTTGGCTGTCTACATGTCTCTCTATGTGACAGGTTAGTCCATACAATAATGTCTTCAGCACTATTTTATGTGACAGGTTAGTTCATATACATTAACGTGTCAGGTAGAAAGGGCTCTAAGACAGCAGAAATTAGGTGGTTGCAAGAATTTATCACAACAATAATGAACATAGCTGATATGAACTCTGCCACGAGGGTATCGCATTGTGGCTTCCAGTTTGCCACACATACTACTGTTGACAGCATCAGAGCCCATCTGGGTGCTGGGAGGCATGATTAAACCTCTCTGAGGTCCCAGTTATCAATATCAATATCTGGATTACTATGACAAAAATCAAGCTAAAAATCTTTTTTTTGGATTATAGTTGATAACCGCAACTTTTGGATTGGGTTGAATTAAGCCAATATCTAGTTCATTGGTATAAGATAAGAATATGTGTTAATGGACTGAATTTGGGTTGAAACCAATCTAAATCAAAATGAATTTAAACAGATTAGATGGTCCAAACATTAATTGGACTGGTTCAAATTGGTCCAAAACATTAATTGGATTAAATTGGACCTGATCCATTTATAATGGATTCACATTGGACTGGATTAAATTGGACCAAATCTAATCCAATTAATACCCCTGCCTCCGGTCTCTGTCTCTCTCTCTACTTCGGTTGTTGTTGTAGAAAACCCAACAACAGTAGAGCAGATTAGATTCAGGAGACCCAAGAACCAACCCATTCCAGCTCCAGATTCAACCCCATAAATCTCTTCTACCAATCAGTCCCCTCACGGTAAAACCTCCATGTCTTCTCTATTCGTGTCCACATTCACCTCCAACAATTAACAGCAAGAAGAAGGGTTCCGACATGTCTTCAGCATTGAAGGATAAAAAGAAGAGCTTTACATCTGCAACATGGAGAGGTCTTGGATGCACATCCTCTTCACAGATATCGGCGCCGGAGGCTATTCGGTCTTCGGCAGATTGGCAAGAGAAGAAGGTGAGGAAAAAGAAGCAGAGGAGCACACAGAGGAAGAAAAGCCATCATGTCACGGAGATGACGTCTATGGGGAATCCAACTCCTGTTGTAGTTGTCCCTGATGTTTGGTGCTCTCTTGGGATCGGTTTCGCAGCCAATGCCGCGCCAATTGATTGTGTTGTGTCGAGACGTCCTGTAGCGGGAAGAGGGAGGATTGATAGTGAGAGGATAAATCAAAGAGAGGTGTGCCTTCTGTTTATGTTATTCGTGGCTTTTGTTCATATATTGGGTTTTCTTTTGGGATTATAACTGATAGGGGTAATTTTTGGAAGCTTCACACAGAGATAGAAGACCCGCACCTTCTTATGGATCCAGACGATTTTCTCTGCCGGTTGCTTTGACGGAATTTGAAGGAGGGCCAAGGGTTCAGGAAGGGGTGATGAAGCTCTTTCATGGTCATCGAAAGGAGGAAGAAGAGGAAAGAGAAAGATAAATACCAGAGGTGGGGAGATTTGTTTATGAAGGAGGAAGGAGATGAATAATGTTTCAACCCCTGATATTTGAACTTTAGAGTTTAAACAAATCTTTATCAAACGGGAGTAAAATATTAACGACGAAGAAATATTTTGTTAGACTGGATCGAATTAGACCAAATCTAGTCCAATTGACTGCCTCCCGTCTCTCTCTCTACTCCGGTTGTTGTTGTAGAAAACCAAACAACAGTATAGCAGATTAGATTCAGGAAACCCAAGAACCAACCCATTCCAGCTCCAGATTCAACCCCACAATTCTCTTCTACCAATCAGTCCCCTCACGGTAAAACCTCCATTTCTTCTCTATTCATGTTCACATTCACCTCCAACAATAACAGCAAGAAGAAGGGTTCCGACATGTCTTCAGCATTGAAGGATAGAAAGAAGAGCTTTACATCTGCAACATGCAGAGGTCTTGGATGCACATCCTCTTCACAGATATTGGCACCGGAGGCTATTCGGTCTTCGGCAGATTGGCAAGAGAAGAAGGTGAGGAAAAAGAAGCAGAGGAACACACAGAGGAAGAAAAGCCATCATGTCACGGAGATGACGTGTATGGGAATCCAACTCCTGTTGTAGTTGTCCCTGATATTTGGTGCTCTCTTGGGATCGGTTTCGCAGCCAATGCCGCGCCAATTGACTGTGAGCGGGAAGAGGGAGGATTGATAGTGAGAGGATAAATAAAAAAGAGGTGTGCTTTCTGTTTATGTTATTCGTGGCTTTTGTTCATATATTGGGTTTTCTTTTGGGATTATAGGTGATAGGGGTAACTTTTGGAAGCTTCACACAGAGATAGAAGACCTGCACCTTATTATGGATCCACACAATTTTCTCTGCCTGAAGAACCAGCTTGCGATTAAAGCTTTGACGGAATTTGAAGGAGGGCCAAGGGTTCAGGAAGCGGTGATGAAGCTCTTTGATGGTCATCGAAAGGAGAAAGAGGAGGAAAGAGAAAGATAGAGACCAAAGGTGGGAAAATTTGTTCGATGGTCTAATGAGGAAGGGGATGAATAGTGTTTCAACCTCTTTTTAATATTTAAAAAAAAAATACCTTATTATAGAAATTATATAAAAAATATTATTTTTATTGATAATAAAATATAAAAGTTGTTCTTATCAGCTATAATCCCTTTTTTCTTCTTAGAAATACTGTATAAAAAAGTTTAATAGGAATTCCTACAAAGATATCAAAATATTGCACAAATTAAATAATTAAAAGCAAGAGAGCTGAGTTGAAGATTCAGTTCAGCTAGTTCAGCTCTGCTTTGAAATTCTCCAAATAAACTTAGTAGACATCCCTTTAAATGATTTGACAGATGGTAGAATTGAACTGTCACAATCTTGACCAAATATATATTATAATCTGGTATGCATGGGGCCCACGTGGGAAGCTAGAAGCCGTTGTCCTTCAGCCCTCCCAAATGGGCATTGGACCCATTACCTCGCTCCTTGAAGAGAAGATGTTTTCATTGTTTTTCAACTTCTAAATAAAACCCTAATCTCATTTATTAAAATATTAATACAACTGATATCCAAAGTTGAGTATATATAATGCTTATCAATTTGATTGATATATTTTTTTCTTTACTTTTTTTTTTTATTTTATAAGCTACAAAGGGATGGGATTTATCATCCCAAACTATTAAATGTTTTAAATATTGATGTATCAATGAATCCATGCATATCTTGGTGCATCAATACAAACATAATTTTTTTTTTTACTTTTTTATTTTATAAACTACAGAGATGGGATTTATGATCCCATACTATTAAATGTTTTAAATATTGATGTACCAATGTATCCATACATATCTAAGTGCATCAGTATAAATATATATATTTTTTTCTTTATTTATTTATTTTTATTTTCTAAGCTACAGAGGGATGGGATTTATCATCCCAAACTATTAAATGTTTTAAATATTGATGTATTAATGTATCCGCATATGAACATGCATCAATGCGGACATATTATATTAATATTTATTAGTCCTTGTCTAATCTCACTCTTCAAATGAAAGCTCACTCTTTTCAAACAGACTTCATCCTTTGCTAACCAAATTTCATTAACTGACTATCGCCTTTAATGTCTCTGGTTTCGTCATACTTTTGGTTATTTGAACTTTAAAGTTTAAACAAGTCTTTATCAAACGGGAGTAAAATATTAAAGACGAAGAAATATTTTACTTCGTCAAAATAGGGCATTCCACGAAAGTATTTTCCATGATTTACCTACTTGGATTTACAGGTGTTTTAGAAGGTTTTGACTTCAAGAAAAGCAAAAATAGTAGTAGAATAGCAGAATTGCAAACAGAGTTCACCATTGGAGCTATTTTATTTGTATTCTGATAAAACTAAATTAAACAGAAAAAAATACAACAATAACAAAGGTAGAAGCATACTTTATCATTTTTTTTTTCACAAGAGGTGTCGAAGACAACGGATGATGCAATTCAAGAAGTAGAAATTTGGTTCACAAACAGGGGCGGAGCTAGGATTGTTTATTGAGGGGGCCAAAGTGTAATAAATATGGATACGAGGGGCCAAAAGATAAGAAACATAGGTAAGAGGGGCAAAATATATGTGGAATTTAAATAACTATAAGGATTTTCAAGGCAAAGGGAGGAGGGCCATGGCTCCCCTCTGCCACCCCCTCGCTCCGACCCTATTCACAAAGAATGAGTTTCAGTAGTGGGAGTTTTCATTCTTAGGGTTGAGATTTAGGGGGTGTTTTATAACGTAAATGAGAAATTGGGTGACGTGTTTTTATCCACACTACACCTGTGGTGTGAGTTAAAACACACCACCCCACAACAGGATAGTTATTCTACATTATGGACAAAGATATGTGGATTGAATGACACAACATCTCCCTAGGTGTTCTACCCTGTGTTATGATTCCATGCATCTCACTTACAAAATTTGAGATGATCTGTGCCATTAATCATAAAAAACAATAATTTATTTTTTAGTAATATGCATAATAGAGAAATATTATTAAACTGCCATTGACATGAACATCTTTTGTTGTTTAATATAATGAGCTTTCACCCTTCAAAATGTTAATCATTTTAATTTCTATTATCACTTTGCTTTGTTTGCTACCGTAAAGAATTAACATAAAAACTAAAGCAAAGTATACTAGAATTTGAAGCAAAAATCAGAATTTGCAACCTTTTTATGTGAACTCCATTAATGTATTTGCATTTAGTGCAAATGAAATTACACTGAAAACAAATGAAATCTTGTGCATCAAGTAAAAAATATTTTCTTCTAAGGCTCAGTTTGAAAGGAGTACAAATATAAATTTGTAGAGTGCAAAATCTTGTATTTTGTATGTATTCATATTGTACATATTTGTATTTGCATTCTATCCAAATTGAGCCTAAGGAGAACTTGTACATATGAGAATATAACTCTATAGTTCCTGATAATATTCTTAACATATTTATTTTTTGTTTCCTATAAAATATTCTATTGTGCCATTTACGTTGGGGATTCTAATCCTCTAGACAGCAAAGGATATAATTAATCTAATCAAATCCAAGTTAACCGTGCAGACTTGCACCTGATAGGCACTGCAAAATCAGTAGCAGATGCGTAAATTCTTACCGGTGGCGATGATAGTCGTTGCAAGGGCAGGCGACGACAGGAAATGGTGAATGATGGCAAGCTTTTACTCAGCAATGGCTAGCCTTGTAACGGCCAATGAAACCAACCAGTGAGGGGGAAATAATGCACAAAAAAATAAAAACAAAATTACAAGAAAATGGAGATGAATAACTTACAGCTGACGGTCTGGTGATGTAGTGGTGTTCGGAGTAGCAGTGGTGCATGACATAAAATAGAGGTAGTAGAGGCGAGCTTCACAGCGACAAGCATAATGGCAACAGTAATATGTTGAGAATAGTGCGAAGCATGGAAAGATACACTCAAGGTTCAAAGTATCGACACGTATCGGCCCATATCGACCAATACATATCTTGTTGGGAGCATCCAGATACACTCCTACTAGACCTGTTCATAGGTCAGGCTTTCACTTTGTATTAATAGATTTTTCTAAGGCCCGAGTCCAAGCCCGGCCCTCATAAAAAGTTCGAAGCCCGAGCCTGGGCCCGAGCCCAAAATTTAGCCCATGTTGTTACAACTACTGAAGCGGTTGAATAGAGAAAGAGAGAAATTACAAAGAAAAAATAAAAGATGTATATATTAAATTATAAATATATACATTTCAATAAATATTATATTATTTATATATTTTATATAATATATAAAATACATATTATGTATTTTATAAAATATATAATGTTGAATTGGGCCGGGCCGGGCTCGGGATTTGACACAGTTGGGCTTACTGTGTTAGGCTCGAGGTCAAGCTTGCAGGCCTAATTACATGCACAAGCCTGATCGGGGTGCGGGCTGGGCCATTGGGCTACTTGGCCCATGAATAGGTCTAGCCCCTATAGAGGGTGTATCGGGGTTCTATCGATTCAGGGGATGGAGAAGCCTTAAACCGCCCCCTAAACCGGTTTAAAAAAAATAAAAAAGTATCAATACTACCCAATACACCTCTACCGGCGTATCGACATTTAGAACCTTGGACACACTATAGAATAGTGCAGAGCATGGGGTGAGATTGGAGATAAATGTCTACAGTAGCAATGGACTGTCTATGAGAAATAACCGTGCATGGAAAATATTTTGCCTTGTAGTGTAGATCAATCCACGGTATAGTGTAATTCAGTCCACACCACAATACAACCGAATGATTGGTTTTGGCATGGAACATTTCAAAACATATTATCTTGTGGTACATCCACACTACCGTACACCACCTTAGTAGTGGGAGTTTTCATTCTTAGGGTTTTTTTTAAGGTCATTCTTAGGTCTTTTTTCAAGTTAACATGTTTATAATGTTCTTGCTGTTAGTGGTGGTATTATGAAAAAACTTTCGGTCCATTTAAATTATAGGTATAATCGATTTGTATAGTGAAGCCATGCTTGCTTATTTCTAAAAAGGAAGGTTTTAAAAATCGATCTGAAAATGAAATCATTATGACCACCGATTTCTACCTCACCAGGTATGTTCGACCATCCATGTCTAACAGTTAGGCGTTTTTAATATATTAGGGCAGATATTGTTAGTCTTAGTCTTTTATGAGTGGTTGTCCGTTGAAAAAGAAAGAACTATATAAAGAAAAGAAAAGAAGAGAAAGGAAAAAAAAAAAAAAAGAATGAAAGAAAAGAGGAAAACAAATAAAGAAGAGAAAGAAAAAAAGAAAAGAGAAAAATGAGGGAAGGGGGATGAGAAAGATCTGACGTTTATCAGTGATGGTGACGTTCATTTTAACCCGGATTTGTTAGTGCTACTCACACTAACCTTACAGTGTTTTCAACCGTGTGTTAAAGAACATCCCCCATACTTGATTTGATTGTTCATGAGAGGATGTCTCCAATGCAAGACTGCGATATACTGTGAAATTGGTGTGAGGCATATTCTGTGAGCAGCAAATCTGATTTGTTTCTTTCTACGGAACAAAATTGAACTTTCTTTTTTCAAGGAGCAAAAGTGAATTCAATCCAGCTAATGCTTGATGTTTAATATAGTTTATCTTCATGGGCACAACAAAGGGTGGGCCTGAATCCCTAGTCGTCTAATTGATTAGGGCTGCAAAGGGATTGATCTAATTTGACTTGTCAATATTTAGATTCAAATTGAATCTCGTCCATTGATTTTAGATTAGATTCTGATCAAACTCAAACTGATATTGGATAATTATTATTAAAGAATAATAAACTAAGATAAAATGTCAATACAATGAACTAAAACAGTAAAACTGATCATAAATGAATTGAAAATAATTTTCACAAGACTCGAATGACTATATATTAAACATATAACAATTCAAATACCTTTGCTAATATACACAATACAAATCTTATGCAGATATAAGAGCATACTCTTAAATATAATCATATTGGATCGAAATATCAGATAAGGGCTTATACATATTTGACATAATCATAAATAGATTAATTA